GCAAGAGGCTATTTTAGCCAATTAGCCAAAAAGTTACTAAATTAGCCAAAAAGCCAACAACCCATACCAAAAAGTCAAAGATTCTCTTTTCTCTCTACTTTTTGCACATCTTTTCGTAATTAGCCAAAAAGTCATCCCAAACATACAAGTTTTTTTTACCTACCTTTTTAGCCAAATAGCCAAAAAGTTACTAAATTAGCCTGTTCCCAAACGAGGCCTTATTGATGATTTTTCTCGTGCTACTTGGGTGTATCTCTTGAAAGATAAGAGTGAGGTTTTCTCTGTGTTTCGCAATTTTCATAAGATGATTTGTACTCAGTTTGGGGCCACTGTCAAACTATTTCGTTCTGATAATGGCGGGGAATACATAAATTCTGGGTTAGGACAATATTTCTCTTCTCATGGCATTATCCATCAGACCTCTTGCACCAATACCCCTCAACAAAATGGGGTGGCGGAACGCAAGAATCGGCATCTTCTTGACATGGCTCGGTGCATGTGTTTTTCTATGAGTGTGCCTCCGCCCTATTGGGGCGATGCTGTTCTCACCGCTGCCCATCTTATTAATCGTCTCCCTACCCAGGTCTTGCAAAACCAAGCTCCTCTTCACGTCCTCCTAGGTTCTCAGTCCTTGTTTTCTATTCCTCCCAAAATTTTTGGTTATGTCTGTTTTGTTCATAGTCACTCTCCTTCTCGTGGTAAGTTGGACCCTCGCTCCCTCAAGTGTGTTTTCCTTAGTTACTCTCCTACTCAAAAGGGGTATAAATGTTACCATCCTTCTTCTCGTAAGTGGTTTGTGTTCCATGGATGTTACTTTCTTTGAGTCCTAGTCCTATTTCTTGTCCTCTCCGGTGTCACCGTTCTCATTTCCGGGGGAGCCTTGGTGTGAAGTGAATCCTGTGCTTCCTCTGGTGGACCCAGTTGTTCTTGCACCATCCTCTTCTACTGTGCTTCCTACGGTGGAACCAGTTGTTCTTGCACCACCCTCTTCTACTGGGACTATAGAACCCAATGTCACCAAGGATCAGGACGGGCATGTTTATGTCCGGGACAGAGACAGACAACAAGTTAACTGGATACAAGGGACCACTTCTGCTCCTCCACTGCCATCTCCTGCTTCTGATGAGAGTCTAAGTAACTTTGAATCTCTTGAGTCCATTGATCTTGATGTTCCTATTGCCAAGAGGAAGGGTGTGAGATCTTGTACACAACATCCTATCTCACAGTTTGTGTCCTACTCTCATTTGTCATCCTCATATAGAGCGTTTGTGTCCAATATTTCCTCTGTTAGCATTCCTAACCATTTTCAGGATGCTCTTACTACCTCTGAGTGGAAACTAGCCATGATTGAGGAAATGAAAGCACTTAGGAAGAATGGCAGTTGGGAATTGACTGAGTTACCTATGGGCAAACAACCTGTGGGATGTAAATGAGTATATACTGTGAAACACAAAGCAGATGGGTCTATTAAGCGTTACAAGGCAAGACTTGTGGCAAAAGGGTTTACTTAGACATATGGCATTGATTATCAAGAGACCTTCGCACCCGTGGCTAAGATGAATTCAGTCAGAGTACTTCTCTCTCTAGCAGCTAATCTAGATTGGCCACTTTATCAGTTTGATGTCAAGAATGCCTTTCTCCATGGTGACCTCGAAGAAGAGGTATATATGGACATTCCTCTTGGTTTTGTGGATCATCAGACAGAAGGCAAAATATGCAAGCTTCGGAAGTCATTATATAGTCTTAAACAGTCTCCAAGGGCTTGGTTTGAGAGATTCACTCAGGCTATGTTTAAATATGGCTTCAAACAGAGTCAGACAGATCACACCTTGTTTGTGAAACATTCCTCACGTGGTAAGACTACAGCACTTATTGTTTATGTAGATGACATAGTTCTTACAGGCAATGATAGTGGGGAAATACCTCTGTTGAAGAAATATTTAGCCAAAGAGTTTGAAATCAAAGACTTGGGAAGCTTGAAGTATTTTTTGGGAATTGAAGTTGCTCGTTCTAAGGATGGGATATTTATTTCACAGAGAAAATATGTGCTTGACCTGTTGAAGGAAACTGGGATGCTTGGTTGCAAGGCATGTGCCACTCTACTGGAACCCAATCAGAAATTGGGGGATGATGAAGGAGGAGAAGCTGTTGATAGGGGGAGCTATCAGTGATTAGTGGGTAAGCTCATTTACCTATCTCACTCCCGTCCTGATATTGCTGTTGCTGTCAGTGTGGTTAGTCAATTTATGCATGCTCCTCATCAGATTCACTTTGAGGCTATCATGAGAATCTTGAGGTACTTGAAATCTGCTCCTGATAAGGGTCTTTATTTTTTAAAGTATGATCATCTTCGTGTGGAAGCCTATACAGATGCTGACTGGGCTGGATCAGTAACTGATAGGAGATCGACTTCAGGGTATTGTACCTTTGTTGGAGGCAACCTAGTTACTTGGAGGAGTAAGAAACAGAATGTGGTTGCCAGGTCAAGCGCAGAAGCTGAGTTTAGAGCTATGGCACAAGGTGTGTGTGAACTTTTATGGATCAAATTATTGTTGAGTGATCTAGGTATTGCTCAGACGGACTCCATGCGGTTATACTGTGATAATAAGGCCGCCATCAACATTGCTCACAATCCAGTTCAACATGACAGGACAAAACATGTTGAGATTGATCGCTACTTCATTAAGGAGAAACTCACTAGTGGTACCATTTGTACGTACTCCTTTTGTCCAGTCTGGTGAACAACTTGCTGACATTCTCACCAAGGGGGTTGGGAATAAACCATTTCATGACATATTAGGCAAGCTGGGTATGAGAGATATCTTCGCACCAACTTGAGAGGGAGTGTTAGCATATTTTATTATTATTTGAGCTTTTTTTTTGGTTTGTAATTATTGGAGAAACTCACTAGTGGTACCATTTGTACTCCTTTTGTCCAGTCTGGTGAACAACTTGCTGACATTCTCACCAAGGGGGTTGGGAATAAACCATTTCATGACATATTAGGCAAGCTGGGTATGAGAGATATCTTCGCACCAACTTGAGAGGGAGTGCTAGCATATTATATTATTATTTGAGCTTTTTTTTTGGTTTGTAATTATTCTATGCCCTCAGGGTTCGACTTGTAATTGTCTCATCTTGTAAACCCTAATCTTCATTTATAAATAGGGGATGATATTCTATCAAACCCTAAGCTGGTTACTCAAGCTTCATAAACCCCTACTCTTCTTCTTTGTAACCTTCTGCCTCTTACTAATCTCGCCGCTAACTGAACCAATAGCCTTATCTCCACCAGCTAACTCCAGCAGTTGCGCCACTAAGTCATGAGGGTAGCAATAGTATATATTTTTGTAAAATTTTTTGAACATCCTACACATCACTTGTCACCTCCTAATTTTTTTTGCACACCTCGGTGCCAATTTGTCACTTTGGAAAAAAGAAAATTTGAACACCATGAGTTGTTGGTTTGAGCTCACTTCATTAAAATTTTGGACAACCTTTTTGTTTGAGCCAACTTCATTAAAATTTTGAACAACCTTTTTATCTCTAGCCCACTCCATTTAAAAAAAAAAAAAAAAAAAAAAATAGGTTTTGCTTTCTCTCTAACTTCCAAACCTAACTTTATCTTTTCTAATTTTTGAATGTTTACTAAGCGTAGGACATTGACCAAGAGTACATGCATCTCACTAGAAGATTAGAGGCTTGATTTTGTCCACCTATGTGTTCCTTGTATTTGTTTGAGGTCTTTCTTATGTTTGTTGGGTTTGTTGGATATTTGTGGTTGTGTGGTGTCTAGGGCTACAAATTTTTATATTAAATAATATTTTTTATTTAAATAATATAAATAATATTAAAAAAAACATTATTGAGCTGAGCCGAGCCGAGCCGAGCTTGAGCCCAGTTTCTTATCGAGCCGAGCTCGAGCTCAATAAACTAGCACGATAAGTAAACGAGCTGAGCTCGAGCTCGGCAAAGCTCGGCTCGGTTCGGTTCATTTGCAGCCCCTAGTGGTGTCATAGTTGAATGTTTAGTTTGATGTAATTCTCGTAATATTCATAAGGAAAACTCTATTCATATATAAATTTATACAAAAAAATCTCAAAAATGATGGGGCAATGTCATTTTTGTAAATATAACTCTCTTCGTAGGTGTTTTGTTTTAAAATGAAATATTCATAGTGAGCCACATCATTCTGTGCAAAAATTCTGTATAGATTTTCTGTTTGTACTATTTGTAATTTATCATCTATTGATTGACCAAAAAAATGTCTACCTTGACAAAAAGTTTTTGAGTCGCCACTGGCTAACTCAATTGCCTTTGTGACCACATGTTTAATTTGATTATGACAAAGGAGTTCAAAGCTGGATCAATGACAAACTCGGGTTTTGAAGTTGGATTGTCATTGAATTAAGGCTTCGAAACTGTCGGCGACAAATAAGGCACTGTTTGATTTGAAAAAGCTTTGAGTCGCGTGCCGGGCCGGGTTGGGTTCCGAGATAGGGTTGTAACCAACTCTGATATGAGTGCAACTGTGATCTGATCAAGTGGTTTGGAAATTGGATTGCAATGATGTTAAAAATCAATGTATAAAGAGAAAAATACAGAGAGAATAAATGTATCTGATGATCTTATTATTGATTGATGTTTGATTGATATATTCATGTTGTGTATATTACAAGGATTTATATAGGAGAGGATTTGGGAGTAGGTGAAGATGGTAATGGAGGTGGTAGGTGGAGTGTAGTAGGTGAGGGTGAATTGGTGGTAGGTGTAGTAGGTGTGGTAGTAGGTGGTGGTAGATGTAGGTAAATTCTAACAAATGAAAACTCTGGAATTGCGAAGGAGAACAATGCAATTGTGAAGAATGTGAATACTGTAAAAGTTCCTGACAACTTAGATTTTCAGCAACCTTGGTCTGATACCATGTTAACAATTATAGAAGAGTGCGAAAATTGTAGATTATTCTTTTAACATCACCAAACTTAAGTACATTGTTTTTGTAAAATAAATAGAAAGTAGAAAAGCAAAACTCTAATAATTCCTCAAGATTAAAATACCCCTATAGTAAAAATAAATAACCAAAAATACATTTCCCAGCCCCACTACTACTCATCAATTTTCTACACTAAGAAAATGATGAGACTGATTATTTATTGTTCTATTAAATTTGTTCTAATCTGTCAAACTTTACATTTGTAATATGAATTAGTCCTTGTTCTGCTTCTGCAGGGTTAGGTTGGAAATATTGGAAAAAACGTTGGGTTATACTCACACGCATTTCATTAGTGTTTTTCAAAAATGATCCTGTAAGTACAACTCCATTCTTTTTATTTTATTTTGAACTACATTAATGTGGAATGCGATTCCTTTATTGTTCTTTTATGTTACTTTTGCCATAGTTTTATGTTCGCATTGTTGAAGAAATGCCACTTGGCCCTAGTAGCAATCAGCATTGTCGCCACATCTATTCAATCATATCACCACCAACACAACCACCACTACCGCCGCCGTCACCGTCACCGTCACCGTCACTGTCACTGTCACCCTCACCAACACCACTATTGCACCACCCCTGCCACCACCACCACCACCACCACTACCACACAACAACCATTGCTATTGCTACCACCACTACCACAAGACCGCCCTTGTACCTCTACCATCAGGTTGCCACTGCTACCACTACATACCACAACTACTCTGTTACGACCACTTTTGTCATTATCACCATAACCACAACCAACCACCATCGCCGCCATCACTCCACTACCACCACCTTTGCCAACTCTATCGTACCTCACATAACCAATACCCTACTACAACCTCTATGCACCACTGCCGCCACCGTCATTGCCACCACTATCTTACCACCACACAACCATTGTCACTTTCTGCCAGCTCCCACACCCCACCACAGCACCACCACCCTACCACCACCACAGATATAATGAGTATAAGCGAATTATTTCTAAAATTAATAAAGTCCAAATTCCAGCTTCTTTACAGATCAAACAACTTGATTAATTCAACAATTATATTTCAGTAGATACCAAATGACTTTTTTGATTAAAAATTTAGCATGTAGTTTCCACTATTTAATTTTCAATATTCAGATTTCAAACTTCAGTTTTATCAAACAGTACCTAATTTTATGTTTCAATCTATGAATCCCCTGGGGCACTCATCGCTGACCCTATGCATGCGTACAAGTCCAGATGATGTATTTTATGGGATAGACACTAATTATTCTTCTTTTCATGCAGAGCACACTTCCCCAGAGAGGCGGTGAAGTAAATCTAATTTTGGGTGGTATTGACTTGGACAATTCAGGAAGGTATAAATGATTTCTTCTACTCTTTGAAAAATACTAGTAAACATGGCTTATTTTGTTTTAAGGCCAACCTCATTGTTTTTATTTTCTTATTGCAGTGTTGTTGTTAGAGAAGATAAAAGGCTTTTAACTATATTGTTTCCTGATACATGTGATGGACGGGGTGAACGGGCATTTACCCTCAAGGTGCTTCATTTGCTGTCTTACTTTTAAAACTTATTGTACCCAGGAGTCTTAAACTTTACGGCCTTCTCTTTTACTTTTCTTAATTCAGGCAGAGACATCCAAGGACTTGTATGATTGGAAGACTGCTCTAGAGCATGCTCTTTCACAAGCTCCAAGTGCTACCTTTGTGATGGAATACAAAGGAATCATCCGTAACAATGTTAATGATACAATTGAAGGGTCTTTCCATCAATGTTTGTACATCATTATCTTTGCACTATAACTTTTTTTTGGTCATTTTCTTCAATTGGTTATGTGTAAGATCTATTTTATGTTCTTTTTGTTTTGGTCAGAATATATTGTTTATGTAGAGTACTGAAAATTTACTTCCATTCCTACTAAATTTCTCTAGATTTTGAATATTTCAACCAGGGAGCAGGGACGGAGCCAATTAAGGCCCAGGAGGGGCCCCCTCCTCAACTTTTTGAAAATTACACTTAAGTCTAAGAGTTTAAAAGTATCTTTTAATTTACCCCCTTTAAAATTATACATATCCTTTAAATTTGTTAAATTTTTAGCCCATTTCTTTTATCCTTTTCAAGAAAACCCTACAATTTATCTATTAAATTTGTATTGTATGCTCAGATAAATTATGTTGTTAATAAGATCATTTATCAAGTTAAAATTATGGAGATTTTGTTAAACAATGGATTGGTTGTTTGAATTATTAAGTTAAACCTTTTTCCCATTGTTCTTCCAACAAACTTGATACACCATTGACATAGATTGATTCTTTATTTGCTTCACAAGGAAATCTTAAAAAAAATCTCTTTTATTATATGTATTTATTTGCAATTGATATTTTTATTTTTGTACTCTTATTGGTTGATAGTTTTTTAGACTTAAAATGTTACATTAGTTTGTTGATTAATCAAAAAAAATAATAAAAAAAAAATGTTACATTAGTTTGTTGTAGCCATGTGTATTCTGTTGTAATAGTTTCAACATATTAATATTGATTTATTTATTATTTTACGAAACCAAAACAAACTAAATCAATCTGACCCAATATTTATCTTAATATTGCTCCCCCTTAGCAAAAATCGTGGCTCCACCACTGCCAGGGAGGGATAAGCGTCCTGTTAAATCTATGGTAGTTGGACGCCCAATTTTGCTAGCTCTGGAAGACATAGATGGAGGCCCATCCTTCCTTGAGAAAGCTCTTCGATATCTGGAGAAGTACGGTAAGTTTAATTTCAATTGTGATTGGGATTCTTTGTTCTAGAATATCATTTTCACCTGCTGAATTCTGTGGATCCTGGAGCATTTTCTGCATCCTACTCTCTGACATTCTTTTCTTGTTAATTCTGATTTTATTTTTGTTTTTTCTGCTTTATTGATTTTTTTTTGGCCCCTGGGGCTCATTTGAATTGGTTAGTGGGTGTGCTCCCCACACACACCGACAATGGTTTGAAATCCCCCAACTAACTTGGTGCGTGGGGATGAGGATCATCGGGGGTTTATCTTGCAAGGGTGGGTCCTCAGGGCCTTGCCTTGGAGGGGTTCCTCACCAGCCCAAAAAAAAAAAAAATAGTGAAGCAGTTGGGTTTTATCACCATTTATTAGTTTTTCAGCTTTATTATTATTATTTTTTTGACTTGTTAAATGTCTAGAACTGTGAAGCCTATAAGGAGTTTCCTTCATGGTATGAAGCAATTTTGTAGTATTGAAGTTCAAGTGTATTGTGAATGTTTGTCTTTGTTAAATATATATCTTATCGCAATTCTCTCAAAAGCCTTGCTATGAATGGGAAAAAGGGAATCCAGATAATAATACGAGAGATGAAAAAACAGATTCTAGAGGCAAAGTTTATCATTGTATTTACTCTCTTTAATACAATTTCATCTGATTATATCTTGATCTTTCCAACAGGAACTAATGTGGAAGGAATTTTGAGACAGTCTGCAGATGTCGAGGAGATAGATCGCAGAGTTCAAGAATATGAATTAGGTTTCTTTTGCTTTCCTCCAACCAATTACTATAGTTTGTCCTAAAAGTTCTTTTCAGCAAGGTCCAACCCACCCTCATTTCTCTCTTCTCAAGATGAGTAATAATTTTCTTAAGGACGCTTCTTTTTTGCTTGGACATAAGTAGTACAGAGCTCTAGTTCGGCTTATTTTCCCTGTATAGTTTTGCTGTTTTGCTTGTCTGATTTTTCTGAAATCTTGATCCTATGTTTTGGGTGATGATTGATGAATCTGTATGGCATTGGATTAAGAAGACATTATTGGGTATCAGTTTGGTTTCATTGGAACTTTTCTTTGTCTTTATGTCACTTGCAAGCTGAGTTGATCTCTTATTTGTTTATAGGCAAGAATGAATTTGCTCCTGATGAGGATGCTCATGTTGTTGGTGACTGTGTTAAGGTACTTTTGGTACTTGCTGCAACTTTTGACTATCAAATTGTTTCATATCTTTAATGTTGTAGACTAGTATTCACTTGAGCTATTTCATCTGCAGCATGTTCTTCGGGAGCTACCTTCACCTCCGGTTCCTGCATCCTATTGCACTGCTTTATTGGAGGCATATAGTAAGTTCATTTGTTGATTATATCCACAAAAAAGATTTGGCTGAGTCATGGCATCACTATAGTTCTTAATAGATCCTAGTCCTCAATCACCTTCATCTGTAACAATTTGTTGGACATTCTTACAGTGGATCATGTTGAAATTGAATGTATAAAGAGAAATAGAGAATTGTATTATTGATGTAATATTGATTGATATAATGTTATATTTATTACAATGATTCATGATTCCTATATATAGAAGAGGGTGAGTGTGTAGTAGGTAAGGAGTAGGTGAAGTGGAGGTGGTAGTGGTGTAGTGGGTTAGTGCAAGCTGAGTTGATCTCTTATTTGTTTATAGGCAAGAATGAATTTGCTCCTGATGAGGATGCTCATGTTGTTGGTGACTGTGTTAAGGTACTTTTGGTACTTGCTGCAACTTTTGACTATCAAATTGTTTCATATCTTTAATGTTGTAGACTAGTATTCACTTGAGCTATTTCATCTGCAGCATGTTCTTCGGGAGCTACCTTCACCTCCGGTTCCTGCATCCTATTGCACTGCTTTATTGGAGGCATATAGTAAGTTCATTTGTTGATTATATCCACAAAAAAGATTTGGCTGAGTCATGGCATCACTATAGTTCTTAATAGATCCTAGTCCTCAATCACCTTCATCTGTAACATGGAGAGTAGGTGGATTTTAACAGATCATCATTTAGTTATAATGGTTCTATGCTTTTCTGTCTTTTTAGGGTATTCAAATTTTCTCAAGTAATTATTATTATTATAATTTTAGCATTTATCTTTGGTTTCCAAAATTTGTTCAGCTGGTTTGAATATATCTTATACGTGCTTTTCTTTATGCATGCTTCCCCCAGAATCTCTCTCTGTCTCTCAAACCCTAATTTACTGTCTGGAAAAATCCTAGCAGTTCCACTGTCTATCTCAGTGATCAGTGTACTCCAACTAATCTGTCTATTTCCCTCTTTCGTTTTGTGGCCCGATTAGGGTTTTGATTGGAGCCCTTCTGGGCTTGGATATTTGATTCTAAGGGTTTTGTTTAGTTTTTCTTGTGTTTTCTGTTATGGTATGTATGATCAATACCAAACCTCAGGACTTGAGCAAACAATCACACACAACAAATCCAGAACGGAGAATTAGAAGAATAGAAAGTTAAACTCACCAAAAGCAACACGAGATTTACATTGTTCACCCAAATCACGGGCTATGTCCACGGATTCACTGTGGATTCACTAAGATCAATATGAAAGGAGTTACAAAAGTCTCTCACACCCAATCTCACAAACTCTCTCTTTACAATTATCTATCTCTCTCACTCTCACTCTCACTATTGTGTACCTCTCACTAAGAGCGCAAAACTTATGAATAAAAAAATATAGAGCTACAAGAGTGTATTTATAGGGTTAGCCTCAATCCAAAACATAAACTAATTAGGAAACCAAAACCTAAAATAACAAGGAAAAAAACCTTAACCAATAAGGAAATAGTTTAGAGTCCAAATTGAAACAAACACTAAGTGCTTGTTTGGGATCCCCTAAAAAAGCCAAAAAGCCAACAAGTTACTAAAAAAGCAAAAAAGTCTATACTATTTGGAAGAAGTGTGTGGGGGAAGTTAGAGGGCGAAATCGTAATTTTGCCCTTTGAATTATTCAGACCAACAGTGCACTCAGTGTATTTGAAATCTACATTTCCCAAGTGGTGTTCCACGTGGCACAATGCAAGCCACCAATTCCCATTAAAAAAAAAAAAATTGAAATGTAGTGTACTTGAATTAGTCCATACCACGTGGCCCGTTGAATTAGTCAGTTTACTTTGCATCTACAATATTTTAATACACATCTTTTTGTAAAAAGTCAAAAAGTTAACACAAACATACATATTTTTTTCCTCTATTTTTTTTACCAAAAAGTCAAAAAGTGCACTTATATAGTTCATCCCTAACAACCACTAATTTTCTTATTTACTTTTCCTTTTTTGATTAGGTTTAGTCTTGTTTTAGGTTCCACCAATAACATTTTCTTCATTGTTCTCTTCTTTTGGTGCTTGGTCTGCTGCGTTTTGGGATTCCTATTGCATTTCCTTTGTTGGGCCTCTTATTTGGTTGTGTAATCCTTTAAGTTCTAGGGTTTGATTTTTAGTTGAGATGATTTTTGTTTCCCATGTTCTACGTCAGTGATAGTAAGATTTTAGTTGTCGAGTTATTCTTTGCTATGTTGTGTTTGGCTATGGCGCTATCTTCTATGTTCTTCTCGAGCTGAGGAGATGGATGGTTTTGCTATGACGCAGAAGAGGCGTGGTGGCTGTGTGAGTAGTAATGTTGGCTAAGGGATGAACAAAGATGGCTTTGTTTCAAGTCGAAATGGATGTTGAATAATTTCTGACCTTAAGAAGCTTTTGTTGGACCATGATGTGAGGTGAGTGTTGATTGGGGTGATTGATATATTAAAGGTGGTGGATATGGAGGAGTCTGTGAAAGGGAAGGAGGATGTAGTTTTTGAGGATATTGGTGAAGTAGGTCCTCATGATGGCTAGATTTCTAAAAAGAAGGCAATAGGGGATTGTGAGGGAAATGATATTCGTTCTATGGTGGTTAAAAGTGGTTCATAAAAGGTTGGTGGTGGAGGAGGTGAAAGGCAGTTGGTGGAGCGTGGTATTCATGATAGGGGTGCACGTGGCTTTGTGGGGCAGAGATCAAGGGGTGGTGGAGATGATGAGTCGGTGGATGTATTTGGGAGGAGGGTTTTGACTTTGAGGAATTGATGATGGGTAGTTGCTAGGTGGCATGATCTGGATATGGGTAGAAGAAATAATTTAACAGTGAGAAGGGGGTTGGTTAATTGTGGTCTAAAAGGCCGAATGGGTTTTGGCCCAGTAGATTAGTCATGGGAACAAGTTTCATGGGTTCAAAAATTATGTATGTGAATTAGAAGGGATGTTGGATGATTTGGGCCTATGAAGCATGAACACTTCAAGATAGGTGTCGTAGTAGTTTCAGACACAAGGACACACCATGGACACGTACAGGTGTGTCCCATTTTTTATTTTATTTTTTTGGTATGGGACACGGCAGGACACATAATTGAATCCCTAGTTCGAAAAAAGAGAAGAGACCTACCTATTTTTGAAACCCGAATACCTATTTTTTGGTATCAGAAACCCTAATTTGAAGAAAGAGAAGAGACCTAATCGAAAATTAGAAGAAAAAAAGAGAGAAGAGAAAAGGGAACCTGTTCATCGAGCGAAGTCCTCAGTTGATCTCCATCGCAATCTCCATCGAGCTTCCATCTTCGTCGATCTCCATCACCTCTCTGACCTGGTAAGTCTCTCACCTCCTCTGGCCTTCTCTCGCCTCTTGTCTCTCTTATTTGTCGTCTGTCTCCTCTCTCGTCTTCTCATCTCTTTCTGATCATCATCACATCTTTTTCTCTTGTCTCTCTCTGTGTCTCTCATCTGTCTGTCTTTATTTATTTATTTTTCTATTTATAATATGTGGTTTTTATTTATTTATTCTGATTATACTCTCTCCCTCTTCTTTAATTTTTTTTCTTCTGATTATACTCATATTTTTTGTATAATAAATATGTATTGTTTATTTTTATTTATTTATTTTCTTTATAAATTTATATATTGTATAATAAATTTTATTCTTTATGAATTTCTCTGGATAAAGTTAATTTATATTGCTTATAATTTATTTTTTCTTTATACTCTTCTTTTTAATATATATTGATTATACTCTTCTTTATTTTATTTTTCAATGCAGCTTTTGTCCCCCACGTATATATAAAAAAATTAAAAAAATTTGCTGTGTCCGTGTCCCCATGTTTTTGAAATCATCATGTTTTGTGTCCATGTCTGTGCTTCATAGATTTGGGCTGTGTGCTCAGTGGCCATTTTCTTCTTGCTTGGCTATGAAGGGGTGGTGCATGGGCGTTCAACAAGGGTGATTTTAAAGCCCAAGGCCCAAGGGTGATGGATCCCAATTTGCAGTATAATTCTAATAGGAAGACACATTCAGAATGGGGTTCCAAATGTTAATTGTAGCAGGCTTGCGGTGATGGGCCAGGATTTTCCTTCAAGTTATATGGTTAAATTAACATGCTTCTGGTTTCATTAATTCCTCTACTTTTTCTCTTTAAAGAACAGGGATGTAGATAGGGGAGTTGTGGAGGGTGGTGAGAATCATGGGTCTGTTTTCTCCCATTTAAGTAGGGGAGCACAGATGGAGGATACTAGGGTGGAGTGTGAAGGGTCTTTGTGGCAGATACGTGGGTTGAAGTCAGATGACGGGGAGCATAGATGTTTGAAGACTTTCAAGTGGGGGAGTTAAGTCAGTTGAGATATGGCTGTTGAGTCTTACAACGACAAAGGAGATGTTTGGAATTGAGTGGATCAAATTTGAGGCTTCGTTTAATGGGGAGTGCATGGAATCAGGCTGTAGGTTTTTTGGTTGATTAGGTGGAGGGGAGTAAGTCGATGGGAGTGAGTTATGGAATTTGGACTTTGGGAGTGGGAGGTTGTTGAGAAAGGTAGGGACAACAGTAATGGTTCAAAGATAAGCGAGGGAGTCGGGGGGGTGATATGGGTCTGGATAAAGGGGAAGATCAAACTTCAAAGGGGTCATCTCATTTTGAATTTTAATTTGATCTTGACGGCAATGGTCTTTTAGTGCTCAAGAAGGTTGATTCAGTCACTAGAGAGGTAGAAAAAAGAGCAAAGAAAACAAATGTATCTATAATAGGAACTTTTAAAATTGGAAACATCCAGCAAAGAACACTTTTCTAACTTCTAGTATAATATTCAACATATTCCTAAAGAGAATTAGAATTGACAAACCCAATAACCAAACAACTAGAAATGTATGAACCAAGCGATCCAATTTCTTAAATAACTGAGCTGCTTTTTTGTAGATTGCAATCATATCCAATATTTGTTCAATGTTTTATGTGTTGTGTCCCCATGTCCATATCCAGTTTTTGGACTCGTTTTAGCTGTGTCACCGTATCATATAATTAGGACAATGTGTGAACCCAACCTCCGTACAGGTTCCGGAGGCTGGGTGACATAGCTTGAAACACCCACATCCTTAAAATTTACCACTTTCTTGAGAGTATGCTTTGCATCCACGCATCTTTTGAAGACAAGATAATCTAAGTTAAGGTGTCAACTCTTTTAACATATGCTTCATAATTATCTTTTCTATTTTCTGTATTCACTTTTGTAAGGCTTTTGCTGATGCTTTTACGTGGACTTTCATCAACTAGTGGCATTTTCAGAAGCATATCTGAGAATTAGTTGAAGCGCTTGGAATTATGTCCCAATTTTGTGACAATTATAAATTTATAAGTGCATGCATAGTTTTTCATTCCCATGTGTCTAGCTGAGTCTTGTTTGATCACTGTTTTGCCATGCTGGTGTGAAAACTCTAAAGCCTGCATAATCCTTTATAGGCACTGGTGCCTTTGAACTATTTGTTGTCTATTTTTTCCTTTCTTCTTTCCTTTGTTTTCCCCACTTTTTTATTTCCTTATTTTTCTTTTTCAGACACTTGAAATACTGAAGTTTTTGTAGATTTTCTAAACCCAGTGGCATATATGGAATAGCTTTAAGTTTTTGCAGTGTCGTTTCAATTGGGACTTGCAGTTATGGGTTCTTTTTTCAGCGGGGTTCTAGAACTAACACACTTAGGTCATGTTTGATTCACAAAACTAATAGTGAAGTATTAATAATCCTATTAAATTAGTATGGTATTCACTATCCAATTGGATTAATATCCATTGGATTAATAATCTCACCCCTACCCCATTACTAATAATCCTACAAATTTGTTGGATTAATTATCCATTAGATTAATAATCCTAAACCAAAATGTTAAAACAAACATAGGATAATTGGGCCCACGGATTAATAATCCCAATCCCATGCTCTAATCCACCCAATCAAACATGCCCTTAGTTCTGTTTAAGTTGATTGCACGTGTGTTCAGTCCTAGAATTCCATCTTTTTACTCCTCTAAGGAAACTTTTTGTTATGTTTGTTTTCCTCATGCATTTGATGTTTTAAACGTCACATACATTGTTAAATGTTGATCTTGTTGCTTTACTTTTGTCTTGGAAGAAATTGATCGGAAGGAAGCTCGTGTGAATTCCATGCGGTCTGCAATATTGGAGACATTTCCTGAACCAAACAGGCGTTTATTACAGAGGTAACCACAACACGCACACACATCCATACTATGTTTTACCATTTTTTTGGTTCATTTGCACCAATAATCCTCTCACCTGGTCATTTTGAGTTTTCTTTGTTCAAATTTCCTTTGTATGACTTTCATAGTGGTGAATACACCTAATATTGTGTTTAATCAAATCATTCAGATTTCAGTGATACTGGATTTCACTGATTATTTTTATTTATTTTTTATTTTTTTGCTTGGAAGTTATGGAAAATTTTTTCTACTGCCATGGGCAAGAAAATAGATAATTGGTAAAATGCTCCTTGATAGACTTTACAGGGTTAGTTATGAGTCATACCTGACATGTGCTTTCTTAATGTGTCTTCCTTGTGTTTTTTATTCGGGAGAGGCAACTCTTTAAAACATTGATTTCCAGCCACTTGAAGAATCTGAAATTGTGGCTGAAACTAGAAAACAAAAAATATCCAATCTTTAAGATTGCTGGTCTGAACTGATTCAGAAAGGAAACCATACCTGCCTTTCTTAATGATATCATACAATAACAGCTGAGTATTTGAAGCATTTCTGCAATTTAAAAAACTTTCCATTTCATTTGAGGTCATACAGCATTATGGAAATGATTAATTTAAAAAATGCAGCTAGGATCAGTTAAATCCATTTGTCTCATATAAAACTTAGTTTCACCAAGAAGGTTGTGCTGAAAAAAAATTGTGCTTTCGATGCATTTGATTCTTAACAAATTATTTTGTTGCAACCCCCCCCCAAAAAAAAAACCAAGAAGATTATGCCTTAAGTTACATGTTCACATCATCTGTTGACACAGTTGACATTGGGATTCCTATTTCAAAGCTACTATGATTTTAGGTTCTCTCTAGAAGAAGCTTTTGACCTTTTGTGGAGGTGTTGCCATTGTTTGAACTCTGCACAGACATGACACGGACACACCGACACAATAGTTTAAAAGAAATGCAAGACAAGATTATGCCGATATGCCTGGGACACGTAATTTAAAAAAAAAAATTTATGCCAAATATATGTATTTTATTCAAAGATCATAAATAAAAAAAAAAACAACATAGAACTAATTGAATTAAAAGCTATACTTCCATAAGACAAATATCAAGATATCATTCATATAACAATTGTAAAGTGATTCATGAACTGATTGAGAATCTAGAACATTGTTTTTTCTATCTTATAATTCTGAGACTAAGATTTTATAGGTACTTGTTATTGATATTTCATGATATATCATGGTATATTGTCTTAGTTGCAAAAATATGAAAAATAGAGTAGGGTTGGAGAGAAGAAAAGAAGAAATAAGAATAAGAGAATATTATTGAATATATGTTTTTAGGCTTGTGAAATAAACCTAAACTATCGGCAAATATATATGAGATACAATGACCATACAACCCTTACTCAACATAAAAATTAACACATAAACACATATTCTAACACTCCCCCTCAAGTTGGAGCACAGAGATCGAACATGCCCAGCTTGGCAGAGAGACGTTGTAACGAAGAACAAGCAAGGGGCTTGGTGAGGATATCACTCAATTGATCATCGGAGCGAACATATGGTGTCTCAAGTTGCTTATGCAACAACAAATCCCGAGTAAAATGACAATCAACCTCAATATGTTTGGTACACTCATGAAACACCGGGTTATTAGCAATGAAAATAGCGGCTTGATTATCACAGTATATGCGTATAGGAGTAGGAACACGAATACCAAAATCGTGCCGAAGTGAACAAGCCCATAACATCTCTGACGTAGTATGAGCTATGGCACGATACTCGGCCTCAGCACTCGAACGAGCAACAACTAGTTATTTCTTACTACGCCAAGTAACAAGATTACCCCTCCGTGAGAATGTATTGTGTATATATGGTTGTGCGTATATTTGGCATTGTGTATATTAGGAATTAGGCACGTATTAGGCAAGATTGTTGTATTTCCTTTTTCCTATTTCCTTTTTCAGTCATAGATTTAAGGCTATATAATCTGATAAATTCTTTTGTAAATACACAAGTTGAATATACAGATCATTCAGAAACTCTTACATGGTATCAGAGCTTGGTTTGAAACCCTAGCTTGCAGAATCGAAACCCTAGTCGCCGTAGTGGGTTTGCTCCATTTGGTTCTTTGTCTGACTCAAAGGTTTCGTTTGGTTCGAAGACTCTTCGACCATCTGGTTCTTTGTCTGGTTCGCTGATCGCAACTCCTGGTCGCACGGTTTGTTGATCGCTACCCCTGGTTCGTCGATCGCACCCTATCTGTTGTGCATCGCGACTTCATCACACTTTTCTCTCTCTGTCTCGGTGGTTTGGTTTCGATCACAACCCCTGGTTCGTTTGGTTCGTTAATCGCGCACCAATTGTTGTGCATCGCGACTCTTTCGGTTCATCTCGGCACTTCATCACACCTTTCTCTCTCTGCCTCTGTGGTTTGGTTGACCCCTAGTTCACTCTCTCTCTGTCTCTGTGTGTTTTGATTATCAGTATTGATTATTTGATTAAAAAAAAAAAAACCCTTATTTCCAGTTTTATTATATTTCGACCTGTTTCTCTTTGATCTATTATGATGACGGACACCAAAATTCAAGCTATCAGATGTAAACTCACTGGTGCTAATTATGCTTATTGGGCTAGTGTTATGAAAATTTTTCTTCTTGGTCAGAAAAAAATGGTGCTATGTTTCTAGTTCTCTTCCTCGTCCATTGGACCTAAAAGAAGAAGGATATTTGACTTCCTGTGACACTTGGGATTGGAATGATGTTTTCCAAATACAGTATTGCTAAGGAATGATGTTTTCCAAATACAGTATTGCTAAGGAGGTGTGGAACTATTTATTAGGTATGTATCAGCAATCCAACTTCGCCAAATGGTATGAGTTGGAAACAGCTATTCAGAGTGCTCGTTAGCAGGATCAATCTATTCAGGATTTTTATATTGAGATGACAGGTCTCTGGGATTAATTGGCTCCTATGGAACCATCTAGCCTCAAGGCATTACATGCTTATGTTGAGTTTCGGGAGCAAGGTCGTTTAGTACAGTTTTTAATGGCTCTCTCTCCTTAGTTTGAAGCTATCCGTGGTGGCATCCTTTATCGGTATCCTCTCCCCTCTGTGGATGCTATTGTTCGTGAGCTCCTCTCCGAGGAAACCCGCTTTAAAACGGCTAGTCAGACTCTGTCTTAATCTGTCTTCTTGGCTCCTACTCAGCCTCCTCTGTTGTCAGCCCCACCATCCCATCAGCTTCAAGGCCATGTGAAGTCCAAGAAGGGGTCACTAGCCTCTGATGAGTGAGCTTTTTGCCATTAGAAAGGCCATTGGAAGAACAACTGTCCCAAGAAGGGCCGTCAGTCTGCTCAGTCCTCTCAGTCACAGTTCCGAGGTCCTGTTCTGAGTACTTTTCGCCCTCTTGTTACTTATACTGCATCTGCTCCAGCTTCTGATCCTGATTTGGCTTCCTTGAGTGCCCAAATTGCCCAGCTTCAGCATTTCTAATCCACCTCTCAGTCATCTTCCTCTGCCTCTGCTCTCACCTCTCTTTATTCAAGTTTGCTTGGGTCCTCTTCAGGTATTCCTTCCTTTGTCTGGCTTTGTGATTTTGGTGCCTCTCATCATATGACTCCTCACCTTTCTTTACTCCAACACTATATCCCCCTTCTCGTTTCTAGTACTATTAATACTCCTAATGGGTTTGGTATGTTTGTCCTGTCTATTGGGTCTGTTTTACTCTCTGCCCTGTTTGCTGTTACTATTTCCTTTGTTCTTTATGTTCCTCAACTGTCTATTAGCTTGCTTTCTATCAGTCAGCTTGATGCTTCTGGTTTTGATGTTATCTTTTCTTCTTTTGTCTGTTGTGTGTAGGATCGGGTATCCAAGAAGGAGATTAGGATCAGCCGTAGAGTTGGAGATCTCTATGTGGTGGAAAGCCTGCATCTTCCTCTGTCTACCTCTCCCGTTGCACTTTCATCTTTTCTGTTAGATTCTCAGTCGAGTCAGTTTTATTTATGACATTCTCGCTTAATTCATTTGTCTGTTGACCGCTTGCGGTCTTTAGCTCAGTTAGGATTATTAGGTAAAGTTTTTCCTAGTCAAATTAATGAGTGTCGAGGATGTAAACTTGCTAAAATGACAGCTTTACCTTTTAATAACAGTACTTTTATTTCTGCTTCCCTTTTTTCTTTTGTCCATACTGATGTCTGGGGACCTTTTCCTGTTCTCACTAAAAGGGGTTCTACGTACTATGTGTCTTTTGTTGATGATTGTACCCGTTATACCTAGGTTTATCTTATGGTTCATAAATCTGACTTCTACCTGATATATCGTACCTTTCAGTCCATGATCACTACACAATTTGGGGCCATAATTAAAATACTCCGGTCTGACTTGGGTGGGAAATACTTTAAAACTGAATTGTGTGAGTATTTGGCCAAATTGGGCACCATTCACCAAACCTCCTATACTGATACCCCTGTCCAAAATGGTCGTGCTAAGCGTAAACACCGTCATTTCCGTGAGATAGCTTGATCTCTCCTTCTCTCTGCCTCTGTTCCGGCACTATTTTGGGGTGAGACAGTTCTTATCGCTGCTTTTCTCCTTAATCGCATGCTGACTCCCCTACTCTCCGGTCAATCCCCTTATAAGGCTTTGTCTTCCCAACCTCCCAATTATTCCCTTTTGCGTGTCTTTAGATCTGCTTGTTTTGTCCTCCTTCCCCGTAAAGATTGGACCAAACTCAGTGCCCGGTCTGTCTTGTGTGTCTTTTTGGGCTACAGTCTTACTTAAAAAGGCTACCGCTGTTACGACCCTGTCTCTGGTCGCCTCTATGGCTCCCGTCATGTTGCCTTTCTCGAACGTCTCTCTTACTTTCAGCTTCTCCCTCTCAATGCTCCCGTTTCCAAAGAGGATTTGGTTCACATTGACGCATTTCCTTCTGAGGTCCCATCCGATGAGTATATTGCCACTGTTCTTCCTAAGGCCATTCCTACTTCTCTATC